CTGATGAATTCCAGCTTGGGGTGCAAAGGAATAATAATTTTCAGGTCTGGTAATGCTGCCAGCAGCACTTGGGCTGGGGATGATTCACCTGATGATCCTTGAAAAAACTTGGGAAGGCTTCAATGAGCACATAAAAACCTTGGGAAGATGCTTAAAGAATGCAGGGCCTTGTGAATATTGCATTTCATTTGGGAAATAATGCCCCTGCTGGCTTCTCTGATTTCAAGGATTTTTTAATATTCAGGACTTCCCCACCTAACATAAAATATACCAGATTAAATAACATCAACAGTATTTAGGTTGCTCTTCTGTAAATATTTAACTTAAAACTTTGCATTTCCCCCCTTATTTCACTGCCTTTGCATGTGAAGAAGGGAAAAAGGAGCTGATGATTTTCAGCCACTGGGTCCATGAGAAGAAATGCAGCAAACCAGCCCAAATTTTGTCCTTTGGCAGGCTGGGGGTGTGATGGAAGTGTTGAAAATAAAGAGAATTAAGGCCTGGAGAGCTTCAATAATGAATAATCCCTGTTATTTAGAGATTTAGGGCTGTTCAGCCTGGAGAAGGAAAGGCTCTGGACATGGATGAACCAGCTGGGACATATCCCAGATTTTGGGCTGGACTCTGCCTCCCTTTGTTCACCCCTTACAATTGAGATGTAATTTCATGGGTTCCCATGTAAATAAATAGGATGAAAAGTGTGGAAATAGCTCTTTTTGGAAAAGAAGTTCAAAATTGGTTATTGAGTTTTTAAATTTGCTTTAATCAGGCGTGTTGATGGAGAGAGGGGTTTGATTCATTTGCTGAAATCATTGATTTAGATAATTTCAGTCAGCTTCAATCACAAATTAGGGCTTAACCCTGGCAAGCATTTTAATTTAAACTTTAATGAAAACATCTCCACCCCCATCCAGTTCTCACCCAGGAAATCCTGACACTTTTGCCTCAGTTTCTCCAGCAACATTTCCTTTGTCTTCAGCCCTTGAACCACAGCAGCAATCTGTCATAAATCATAATTCCCATCAATCTGTTGCTCTTCTGTAAATCTTTAACTTAAAACTTTGCATTTCCCCCTCATTTCACTGCCTTTGCATGTGAAGAAGGGAAAAAGGAGCTGATGATCTTCAGCCACTGGGTCCACGAGAAGAAATGAAGCAAACCAGCCCAAATTTTGTCCTTTGGCAGGCTGGGGGTGTGATGGAAGTGTTGAAAATAAAGAGAATTAAGGCCTGGAGAGGTTCAATAATGAATAATCCCTGTTATTTAGAGATTCAGGGCTGTTCAGCCTGGGGAAGGGAAAGCTTTGAACATGGATGAACCAGCTGGGACATATCCCAGATTTTGGGCTGAACTCTTCCTCCCTCTGTTCCCCCCTTTCAATTGAGATATATTTTCATATGTTCCCAGGTAAATAAATAGGATGAAAAGTGTGGAAATAGCTCTTTTTGGAAAAGAAGTTTGAAATTGGTTATTGAGTTTTTAAATTTGCTTTAATCAGACGTGTTGATGGAGAGAGGGGTTTGATTCATTTACTGAAATCATTGATTTAGATAATTTCAGTCAGCTTCAATCACAAATTAGGGCTCAACCATTACAAGCATTTCAATTTAAACTTTAATGAAAACATCTCCACCCCCATCCAGTTCTGACCCAGTAAATCCTGACACTTTTGCCTCAGCTCTTCCCTGTTTCTCCAGCAGCATTTCCTTTTTCTTCAGCCCTAGAACCACAGCAGAAATCTGTCAGAAATCAGAAAATACCATCAATCTCTTGCTCTTCTGTAAATCTTTAACTTAAAACTTTGCATTCTCCCCTTCATTTCACTGCCTTTGCATGTGAGGAAAAAGGGAAAAAGGAGCTGATGATCTTCAGCCACTGGGTCCATGAGAAGAAATGAAGCCAAATGAAGAAATTCCCATCAATTTTTTGCTTCAATGTGCAATTCAAATATTCTGCAGTGCCCAATCCCTTCACCTGGAGAGCTCCTACAACTGCATCCCCATAGAAATCACAGGTTTGGGCATCCCTGCCCAAAACTTCTGGGGATTTTAGGATGAGCAGTGATTTTGTTGTTTATCCAAAGATCAGAGCCCCAGCCATAGCATTTTGCTGGGAAAAAAAATTGTAAAAGAGGCAATAAACTTTAATTGTAGCATCACAGCTCAGATTGCAGGATGATGTTTCAGATTATTGAGAAGGGAAACTCCTGTTGCAGACACATCTTCTTCCATCATTTTGTTTCTCATTTTCCTTTCTGGCTGTGCCTCCTGCAGTCAGGGAATGGGGTATTTTATATTTTACCTCCAGCATCCAGCACAGGCTCTGTGGAGAGGGATGGGCAAGGAAATCTCTGTCTGTGTCTGTTCTAATTCCCAGTGGATGTTGAATTTGTGGGACACATCCCACAGATATATTTTTCATTTTAGGGCACTCCTAAACAGATAACTTTGAAATCTTTAAAGGCATCAAATACCACATAATTCCTTCTGTTTCTTCAGCCCTGACAGGGGGTTCCAGCACAACAGGAGATGCTGCTCATGCTGATTATAAGGGTCCTGCTGACATTTAAATCTCTACCCTGATTAGCCTTTAGAAAAGCAGCTGTTTGTCATTAAGAAAAGAGAAATGAGAATATAAGGTGTGATTAGTGGTTTAATTAATACACAAGTGCATTGTCTGCACTTCAGCAACTTCCTGGGCTGCATGGACCTTGTGGGGGGCTGGTATGTGAATTTATTAAAATATGGAGGATATAACAGAGGTTGTGTGTGTACATATACATATATATATACACACACATATTATAGATAAAAATATATAATACATATTATTTGTATATAATTTATATAATATATTCATAATTTAATAATATTAATTATATTATATTATGGTGTATCAATATTATACATTATTATATTAATTATATTATATTAATCATTATATAATATATAAATATTATATATTATATAATATTATAAATATATATGGTTTAATTAATACACAAGTGCATTGTCTGCACTTCAGCAACTTCCTGGGCTGCATGGACCTTGTGAGGGGCTAGTGTGTGAATTTATTAAAATATGTAGGATATAACATAGAGGTTGTGTGTGTACATGTACATATACATATATATATATATACACATAATATATATACATTATACACATACGTTATATATACACATTATATATTTTATTTACATATAATATATTATTTATATATCATATTATATTATTATATATTATTTATTAACACATTATATATTTTAATTTATTTTTATACATTATAAATTTTTCATTATTTTTTATTATTATATTTATTATTATATATATTATTATATAATATATTTTATTATATATTATATATACATTACATATTTTTATATATAATATGTATATGTACATACATATTATAGATAAAATATATCATATATTAATGACTTAATATTATAAATTATATTATCCATTACTTATATTAATATAATATTGTTATATTAATGATATTAAATTAATAATTATAATTTATACATAATATATAATTTTTATATATAACATACATATCCTATATGCATATATATTATAATTAATATATATGATATATAATATAGATATACTTTTTATATATTTTATATAAATATATGTAAATAAATATATATAACATACATATCCCATATGTAGAATATCCTAAATATATAGGATTTTATTAAAATATATAGGATATGATAATGTGTTATGGCTGTAAAAAGAGAGAGTAGCACTTCTCCACAATTCCTGACAGGGGGGGTCGGGCTGTGCTGCCAGGGAACACGGACAGGGCAAGGGGAAAGGGCCTCAGGCTGGGCCAGGGGAGGCTCAGCTGGGACAGCAGCAGCAATTTCTGCAGGGAAAGGGTGCTCAGGCCTTGGCAGGGGCTGCCCAGGGAGCTTTGCAGTGCCCAGCCCTGCAGGTGTTGCTTTGATTTTAAAACTAAAAATTCTTCTCCAAAAGAAGTTTCTGTGTGGAAAACCAGAAGAAGCTTTAAGGGCTGTTCTGCCGTGCAAGTCAAGAAGAAATCTTTGAGTTTGCACTTTGAAGGTTTTTCTATCTTGCAAATGCAGTTAGGGATAAAAACTCGTTAAGGAGGAGGTTTGGGAGCTGAAGGAGCAGCAAATCAAAGCCCATTCATTTCATGGATTTTATCAGTGAGAGTATTTGTAAATATTTTGCTGAACGTCTCTCTTCTTCATGCTGTTTCCTGCAGTTAAATGGGGGCATGGGGATGGAATTTATTGCATTCACTGTCTGAAAAAATAAAAAGAAATTAATACAAGTGTAGAGGTCTTGGGAATAGTTTTAATAAAATTGTTTCTCTAAGGAGAAGCCCTATTATAAACTGTATATACTCAGGCATTTATGGCTAATGCAAATTCTAAGCCACAGCTGAAAAGAAAACTGGGCCTTTTGGGGTTCTGCTCTCTGTGCACTGGTTTTCCCTTTTTTTTAACCATGGAATTTTGCCTTTGGAAGAATAGGATGTGGTGTTTGGTGAGTGACTCAGAAATCTTGGAATTCAGCAGGGATCCGAAAAGTAAAATTGGAAAAGAATGGCTCAAAACCTCCCCAGCTGGGAGGTGTTTCATTATCAGGCTGGTTCATAATCAGGGCCTGGGTCTGGAAATTTCCTTGGGAGCAGGACGAAACCTCAATGTATCTTGCTGGATAATGCACTAAAGGTGTCCCAAAATCACTCAGGTTGTGATGAACTGACCCCAAATCCTTGCTCACCTTTGGCCTTCATCGATTTCTTCTCCTCTCACAGCTGCTTCCAGGCCCTCTTCCCAAAACCCTGCATCCAGCAGGACCTTCCCAATCCTCTCAGTGCATGTTTCATGTCCAGCACCCGAATTTCCTGGTGTGCAGTGCTCCCCATTCCCAATGACATCGCTTTCCTCTGCAGTTCACAACAGGAATTTGGACATTTTTTTGCTAATCACGTTTTCCCCTTGTCTTGTTTTTTTCCAGCTCTCGTAAATGTGAAACTTTGGGCTATTGATCGGCAATGTTTTCAAACAATAATGATGAGGACTGGCCTCATCAAGCATACTGAGTATATGGAATTTTTGAAAAGGTATGGCACTTGTTTATTTATCCAAAAATCCCATGAAATTGCCGTCCTCTCTTGCCTTTTTTTATTTTTTTCCTTGTGAGTGAAGTATTTGCTTTGTTTCCTTCTCATCTCTTTCAGTTTTAATAATTATTACTATTATGATTCTGATGATTTTTATTTGCTGTTTGCCCATACTCCTGAGAGGAGGGGGAGCTTTGCTGTGGGGGAGTTTCATTCCTGTTGAGTGTTATTCATTGGCAAAGAGTCCCAGAGCTGAGGGGTGAGAGACAAGCTCTCAAATGAGTCATTCAAAGTGTGTCAGAAAAGACACATTTTTACAAAAAAAACACCCTTTCAAGGGAAAAATCTGAAGTTTAAACTGGTTCAGATCCATTGGGGGTGTGTTCTTGTGCTTCTGGAAGTAAAATGGGAGCTTTTAGGAAAGCAGAGCTTTAGGTTGCTGTAAAATGCAGGTTAGATGAGTAACATAAACATAAAGACAGGAAAACAAAATTTTCGCTCATTCAATTTGATTTTCCCAAAGGTTCCTTCAGAGATTTAAGCTGGATAGGATCAATAATGAATAATCCTGGTTATTTGGAGAGCTGGGGGTGCTTACATGGAGAGGAGAAGGTTCCAGGGAAAGCTCAGAGCCCTTCCAGGAGAGCTGGAGAGGGACTGGGGACAAGGGATGGAGGGACAGGACACAGGGAATGGCTTCAGAGTGACAGAATGGAAATTTAGATGGGATATTGGGAAGGGCTTGGGGCAGCCATGGACAGTGGAAGATATCCCTGCCCATGGCAGGGGTTGAACAATTTCAAGTTCTTTCCAGTACAAACCATCCCATGATTCTATGACAAATTACTATATTTTTACATATATTTTACAGAGGTGGCACAGGATGGGCTTTAAGGTCCCTTCCCACCCAAACCATTCCATGATTTCATGAAATCCAATACTACAGTGTAAGGAACAGATGGTTCCTTACAGATAGACAGTGTTTCATGTCACCATAATGATCCCAAAGGGAAGGAAATGTCAGGAATTGTAGGAAAGGGGAGGCCCAGCCCGCTGTGAGGCTTTCAGCCATCCCAGTGCTACTCAGACATTACTAAGCTGTTACTACACCAGGCTTGTCCCAGTTAGTATTGGAGAAGAAAGGGACTCAGGGAGATAATAACAACAGTAATATTATTAATAATAAATGTTAATAATGCCATCATTAATAAAATTATTTAATTACATAATTATTAAATTACATAATTTTAGATAATTATATTTTTACAATTCCATAATTATTAAATTATATAAATTTATAATTAGATTGTAAAATTATTAATAGAATTATGAGTTTATACAGGTAGATATTATTTAAAATGTATATTATATATCATGTATTATAATTTCATATATATATTATATATATACACATATATATGTATATATATATTATATATGTACACATATATATGTGTATATATACATATATATATGTATATAATACATATATATATATAATACACATATATATGTGTGTATATATATATATATTTATATACATATAAAAAAATCTACGTGATTCATAGGATCTTTTAAGTTGGAAAATCCCTCTATGACCATTGAGTCCAGCCATTCTCCCAGCACTGCCAAGGCCAACAGTGACCATGTCCCCAAGTGCCACATCCACATGGCTTTAAATCCCTGCAGTGATGGGGACTGGGCAGCTGTGAGCACCCTTTCGAGGAGGAATTTTCCTCAAAATCCCATCTAAACCTCCCCCTGAGGCTATTCCTATTGCCCTTGCTCCCTGGGAGCAGGAGGTGAGCACAATGATCTCCAGAGGAACCAGGAAGGTGATCCCATGGGATTGATGCTCTGGGATGAGGGTGGCTGTAGAACAGGGAATTAATGCAAGTGGGATTTGATCTGGGAGCAGAGTCCTGCCCAAGCCACTCCTTGGCTGATCCCAGCTTCTCATTGTAGGCTGGAATTCCACTGGGATGGAAATACTCCTGGGAAAAGAATGAAACTTGAGTACTTGGTGAGGTGAGGGATTCCCTGGTGAGGGCCAGGAGCTCCCTGGGGATGTCCCACAGCTGGAAAAGCATGGCTGAGCTTTTTCCAGGTGTCTTTGCTGATGATTATCGACGACCCAGCTCAGGAGAAGAAACAGAACCTGCTACTGTGTTTTAGGAGTTTAAAACCCATCCATGCCAGCATTAAAAAGCTTTTCAACAAACCTAGGAATGGGTGTGGGATCAGCTCTGGGGTGGGAGCTGCTGGAGCAGGCCCCATGCTCACATTAAGCTTTGAAGCTCTGAGCTTTAATAGAGATTTTCCAGAAGGTTGACAAGATTAATTTGGATTCAGGTCCTGCAGAGCCTGCCCAGCTTTAATTTTAAAGCAAATGATGTGAGGAGAAAATCAAGGAGTGTTTCCTCACGCCGTGGCTGTGCTGCTTGAACACAACCTGTGGCTCATTAGAAAGGCCTAAGGCAATGAAATAAATGTTTATTTTATGAAATATTACAGTTCCAATTTAGGAAAAGTATTTCTTCCATTTGGAGCAGCTGTAAGAAGGTCCTTAAAAAATGTTACTTCCCATTGGGTCTTCCACTTGTGCTCTGGGCATCTTTAGCTGTCTCAAGCTCAGTTTCAATCCCATATGGAACATGAAATACTCATTTTTAGATCCTATTTGCTACATTAAGTGTTCATTTTAAAATCTCATTTGCTACACTAAATGCTCATTTTTAAAGATGCTTTCCTTCAAAATGTTTCTAATGAACACCAGGATAAATCCTAAATAGAAGGAGCTTGTTGATTGTTGACTTTATTCTTTGCTTTTGGGGGATTTGGGAATATTTTTCCTTTTTTGTATTAATGCATGAATGCAAAAACTCTTGTTAAGAAATAAATTGAATAAAACATAAAGGTTTGAATGGTGGCTGCCCACAGAAAAGTAAGTGGGGTCAGAGAGGATTTTTTCCTGCTGATATTAATCTAAAAAGTCCCTCTCTAATTGTGCCATTATCACAATAACAGAATTATCACTTCTCCAACAACAGATTTTCACATGGGAGCAAAGCACAGCAGAAATTAAACTTCTGGGGGTGAAGTGAGGCTATTCATTTAGTTATTTTGTTTTAATATTATTTATTCTGCTGAAAATAAGTGCAGCTGGATTTCCAGGGGTCTCTGGGAGTATCACTCTAGTGGCATTGTGGATTTGTTGGAGTTTTCCCCAGCAGGAATATCCCACTGGCACAGGGCAGCTGCTGCTCCTTAGGGCCACTCTTAGGTGTCAATCCTTTGTTCTGAAAGCCAGGAGAAAACCATAAAACCAGGAAAATCAATTTCCTGGCTGAGAAATCCAGGAGTGCCTTCCCAGTTGTCGTCTGGAACACTGAATCCTACCTTGCTCCAGGGAGTTGTGCACTACGAAAATTTGGGATAACTCCCCTGACTGATCTAAAGCAACTCTTCTGGAGCAAGCAGCAGCTGAATATCCTTTTTCTGAGGAATATAATTTTTCTGAGGGACCAATCCATGCCTCCCTTCCCAAAATCAGCAGATGATCCTTGATGGGATCAAAAGCTGCCTTAATTCCATGGTACTGCCTGCTCTAAGGAGGAGCTGGAAAAGCCAGCTAGTTTTTTATCCCTGTGGGTACCTGTGTCTTGGTTTGAAAGACAGGTGTCTGCTAAGGAAGGAAGGAGCCTCCCTTGAAATGGAAAATGCAAACCCCCCTCCCTCCCAATCATTATAATTTTGAAATTAAGGGGCTCTTAAGCAAAGATATGGGAGTAGGAATAACAGTTCTTTACTAGGAAAATTAAAAATACAGATGCAATAGTACAAAAAGATAAACAGAGTCAGACCAGTCCCTGCCCCCTGTGTGTCAGGGGGGTGCCCCAGCCCCATCCCATGGGGGCTCAGCCCTCCTGCAGTGCCAGCTGTGGCTCTGCTGCAGCAGGGATCCTGCACAAGGGGGGAGTTTTCCCCTGCAGCTCCAGGGCTGCTGCAGATGGGCCTGGGCTCCCTCTGGCCATGCAGGGCAGCAGAAAGCTGCTCCTCTGGCAATGCAGGGGGCAAAGGCTGCTGTGGGGTCCCAAAGCTCAGATTGGATCCAGGTAGGAATGCTTGGCTCCTCCCCTGGGCAGAGCATCTCCCCATGGGATGGTGGGATTGGATCAGCCATGCTGGGACACTCACTGGCCATGGACAGAATATAATTAATAATTAATGACCCACGAACAGAAAATAATTAATAATTAATGGTCCATGAACAGCAGAGATCTCCTGGAGGGAGGATTGGTTGTGGAAGAGATAAAGAAAACTGCTCCACCTGGTTATTACAGCTGGCCCATGAACAGAAGATATCCCCCCGGAGTTATGAGGGGGATGAGTCATGGAAAAGATAAAGAACAGTCCCCCACCTGGTAACAGAATATATACTTTTGGTTACATCTTGCGTTGCAACTTAAGACAACCTGCAAGATGAATCAGAGCAGTGACTCCCTTGGAAACTCAGATTTTTGGTAGCTCAATATGTGACTAAATCAATATTAGGTCAAGGTAGATCATAGAGCAACCAGCAGTGAAAAGTGAAATGTAATTTTGTGTTGTGGGTTTAGTAACTCCTGATGGTACAGGGGAATTTTGTTGAATTAATCTCTAGTTTTCAGCCCAAATTGTGCTTTTTGTGTGTAATTGAATATATTTGTCCTTACGCAAGTGCAGTGAGGTCACAGCTGTGCTAAATGCCTCTGTACTTCTCACTGCAATATTCACTGTTCCAGGCTTACAATGATTTCTTTCTCAAGGCAGTCCTAAAAATCATTCCATTTAATTAAAATCAGAATATTGCAGCTAAGGAAACAACTATTTGTTAAATTAATTTGCCCAGGGAATAAAAGTTGGGGGAGAAAACCAACCTGTGGCAAGAATTTCCTGCTAAACATAATAAGATCAGAATGCCTTGAAAGACTAAATATTGCAATTTTTTCTTCCCAAAA